ATCACCCCAGGGCCCGCCCCCTCTCTGGTCCCCCCCACCCCCCCAGGGTCGGAGCGAGTCCTGCGTCCCCAGCCCAACCAAACCAGCTCCGGGGCAGCTTTCTTCCCCGCGGGGCGGGTCTTGGAACCCGGGAGACACTCCGCCCGGGCCCCTGGCCCGAGACCTGGAGGGATGAGGAGGAGCGAGGGAGGTGGCGGGAGGCGACCTAGATAGCGATCCCTCCCCCATTCCCTGCCCGCCCCCTCCTCGCGGGCCCGGCCCAGCCGAGCCTCCCGTCCCGCCGAGCCCGCAAGGGTTAAGGCGGCCGCAGGTGAGGTGGGCGGGGCTGCGATTTCGGGGAAAAAGGAGCGCGGAGCCCGGGATGAAGGCAGAGCGCGCGGGTGAGTCACGGGCGGAGCTGGCCTCGCTCGCTCGCTCGCTCGCTAGCTGGCTCCCGCCCGCCCTCCGCCCCTCCTCCGCCGGCTTGGGTCGCGGCCCCTGCTCGCCCTTGGCCGCTGCCCCTCGCCGCTGGAGAGCCGCCGGCGCACCGGGCCCTGGAGCGCCCGTCGGTAGCGCGTCCGCCAGCCGTGCCCGGAGTCCGAGCGCAGCCTCGAGGTAGGAGCCCGGGTCGGGGCGGCGAGGGGTGCGCGCTCCCGGGGTCCTCTCGGAAAGACGTGCCCGGAACGCGCCCCCAGGGCTTCGGGGGAGCAGAATCCGAGGGGCTCAGAGCCCCAGCGGAGAGAAAACTGGGCGGACGGGAGAGACTGGAGGGACCGAGGAGACTGGAAACTGGGGAAACTGGAGCGACTGGGACAACCGGAGGACTTGAACCTTAAGGACGGGGAGTAGGGAAGTCCGACCGACCACCGGAGCGCCGGTGATCCGAGAGGCAGCGGGGGAGAGGGGATCGGGTGTCCCTAGCCGCCTTCCCCCGTTGGGGAGCGCGAAGCCGGGACTGTGCGTCCTGCGGTCTCCCACCCCGAAGCCTCGCTGGCAGGCCGTGCATCCCGGGCTTGGGCTGCCTGCCCTGGGTCGGGAGGGGCCGCCCTGTGGAGCCTGGGTCGTTAGCCTCCCCACCCCCTCGCCTTTGGGGCCGTTCCCAGGCGCCAAAAGCTATTAGGGTCCCCGGCCTCACTGCTCCCGCCCAGCCCCTCCTGGGCTGCCCCGCCTGGGCCTGAGGCTGCACTCCTGCAGCTTCACCCGGTTCCTTTCTTGTGGTGAGGCCGCCGGAGCCTGAGTAGGCGCCCCAGCCCCTCTCCCTCTCCCTCTGCCAGACTCCTGCGGCCACCTCCCTGCTCCCAGAGGCAGGAGGTAGTAAGGTCAGCTGAGCCCCGCCGTGGAAAGTCCCTGCCCGAAACCAGAGCGCCTCCTCTGCCAATCAGATAGGAACCCCACACCTGGGGCTCCCGAGCCTTAGGGAGAGATGGTGAGAAGAGGGGGACCTTCAACTCACAGATAGATGGTCAAGAAAGGGGTGCAGGTCTTCAGGTTCCCAGTGGTTCAGGGAGAGTGGAGAGACCTGGTTCACAGAGACACATACAGTACATACTTTGTGGGTGTGTGTGTGTTTCAGTCCTCACCAGAGGACATTTTTTCATTGCTTTTTTTAGAGAGAGTGGAAGGGAGAGGGAGAGACAGAGAGAGAAACATTGATGTGAGAGAGACACATCGATTGGTTGCCTCCCGCAAGCACCCGGACCAGGGCTGGGGATTGAGCCTGCAACGGAGGTATATGCCCTTGACTGGAATCAAACCTGGGACCCTTCAATCCGCAGGTTGACGCCCTATCCACTGAGCCAAACTGGCTAGGGCCATAGCTGTTGATTGAATGAATAAATGAATGTCTTTGTTCAAGTCACTTCTCCAAATACTGCCTCAGTTTCCTCTTTTTCAAGAGTGTTAGTCTGAGCGGTAGTTCTCAACATTTGGCTGCATATTAGAATTATCTGTGGGACTCCTATAAATGATCCATGCCTAGCCTTGGCCAGTGTAGCTCAGTTAGTTGGAGCATCATCCCATACACCAGAAGGTAGAAGGTTCGATTCCTTTGAAGCTCATTTTTAAAAATGATTAAATTAGCTTCTTAGTTATTTGAAGTAAAGAACTTACTAGTTTTATTCTTTAAAAAAATAAATAAAATAAAAATGATCCACGCCTAGAATACACCCGTTATTAAAAACCCTTTGGGCAAGGCTTCCTCTTAATTTTTGTGATTCTGCTTTCCCCCACTCCGACCCTGCATCCCTTAAGGAGTGTCGGCCTTTTGTTTTTTATTTTATTTTTCATATTTCCCTTTTTTCTTGTTGTTTTTTAATATATATATATTAAGGATATTGTTATTGATTTCAGAGCGGAAGGGATAGGGAGAGTTAGAAACATCAATGATGAGAGAGAATCATTGACCCGCTGCCTCCTGCACACCTGCAACTGGGGCATATGCCCTTGACCGGAATGGAACCCGGGACCCAGCAGTCCACAGGCCCAGGCTCTATTGGCCCAGGCTCTATTCACTGAGCCAAACTGGCTAGGGCAGGAGTGAGCTTGATGGTCAACTCTTCACGCCTCCCCGCTTCACATCTGGGTCTCCGCTCCACGGCAGGAGGGCATGGGTAGCAGCCGGAGAGAGCGGGCTGGCACCAGTGCAGCCGGAGAGAGCGGGCTGGCACCAGTGTGGGTCAGGACCGGGGAGGGGGCTTAACTTTCACTGCACTGAACCCCAGGGAGGTGAAGTCCTTGCCGGAGGGAAAGCGTGAGGGCCAGGCATGGAGCTGGGGAGAATGAGGTTGGGCAGTGAAATGCTCTTCCTCAAGGAACATGCCTTAGAGATGGAATTCAGGTTGTTGTTTTTTTTTCTTTTCCAAAATCCCAGAATCTGCTTTGGGCTTTGGGAAGTCAGATAACCTCAAGCTTTGGGTTTCAGAAACAGGCCACCTCCCTCTCCCCACCTGTATCCTGAGTTAAAGTGGGAAAGCTGCGATGGGGCTAGATCCTCCACTTGGGCTGGCAGCAGGTCTGCAGGGGGCAGCTGGGGTCGGCCGGTGTGAGCACTGTCCTGTAGGAGTATCCTCCCTACCAGCCGGGGACCAGCCCAACTCCCAGGATAAGCTGGGTCCTCTAGGAGAGAGAACGTAGGGGAAGGGAGACTTCCATCCTCCTCTGCCCTTGGCCGAGACCTTCACACCCTCAAGTCTTCCTAGTTCTCTCAAATGCTCTTAACTGATCTTTAATCCCCCAACCTGAGGGGCGTTTCTCTTTTTCACCTGGGGGCGTGGAGAGGGAGGGAGGGGCACTTCGCAGGGAGGGGACTAGGTTGGGACTGAAGGCGCGCTGGTGATTTTGCTCACTTCACCTCTCCTTTGCCTCCTTTAGGTCTCACCTGAGGAGCCCCTGACCGTCCCTGTCCCCCACCGCATCCCGCACCCCGGCAATGCTAACCGCTGTCTGCGGCTCTCTGGGCAGCCAGCACACGGACGCGCCCCACGCCTCCCCTCCGCGCCTCGACCTGCAGCCCCTCCAGACATACCAGGGCCACACGAGCCCGGAGGCGGGGGACTACCCCTCCCCGCTGCAGCCTGGAGAGCTGCAGAGCCTCCCGCTGGGCCCCGAGGTGGACTTCTCGCAGGGCTATGAGCTCCCGGGGGCCTCCTCCCGCGTAACCTGTGAGGACCTGGAAAGCGACAACCCCTTGGCCCCGGGACCCTTTTCCAAGCTCCTGCAGCCAGACATGTCCCACCATTACGAGTCGTGGTTCCGGCCGACGCACCCGGGCACCGAGGATGGCTCCTGGTGGGACCTTCATGCGGGGGCCACCTGGATGGACCTCCCCCACACGCAGGGCGCGCTGACCTCCCCTGGCCACCCGGGGGCGCTGCAGGCCGGCCTGGGGGGCTACGTTGGAGACCATCAGCTCTGCGCCCCGCCGCCCCACCCACACCCACACCACCTCCTCCCAGCCGCCGGAGGGCAGCACCTCCTGGGGCCCCCCGACGGGGCCAAGGCCTTAGAAGCGGTGGCGCCGGAGTCCCAGGGGCTGGATTCCGGTCTGGACGGGGCGACGCGGCCCAAAGGCTCCCGGCGGTCCGTGCCCCGCAGCTCAGGTCAGACCGTGTGCCGCTGCCCCAACTGCCTGGAGGCGGAGCGACTGGGGGCTGCGTGCGGGCCCGACGGGGGCAAGAAGAAGCATTTGCACAATTGCCACATCCCCGGCTGCGGCAAAGCCTACGCCAAGACGTCGCACCTGAAGGCGCACCTGCGCTGGCACAGCGGCGACCGGCCCTTCGTGTGCAACTGGCTGTTCTGCGGCAAGCGCTTCACGCGCTCCGACGAGCTGCAGCGCCACCTCCAGACCCACACGGGCACCAAGAAGTTCCCCTGCGCCGTCTGCAGCCGCGTCTTCATGCGCAGCGACCACCTGGCCAAGCACATGAAAACCCACGAGGGCGCCAAGGAGGAGGCGGCGGGGGGCGGCCGCGGGCGAGGGCAAGGCTGGCGGCGCGGTGGAGCCCCCGGGGGGCAAAGGCAAGCGGGAGGCGGAGGGCGGCGGAGCTCCCTCCAACTGAGCTCCTCCCACCGCCTCCCCGCGGCCCCCCCGGGCATCAGAAGAGAACCCCCTGGCCTGGTGTCCCGGGGCGGCTTGAGCGAGGAGCAGGTGGTTATTTATTGCGAGGGGTGGAAGCGGTGTGGGGTCGGGGAGAGGGGACACTAGGGGTGCTTTAGTCTCTGTGGCTGGACAGGACGCGTTTGCCTGTTTGGCTGGCCGGGTGTGTGTGTGGGGGGAGCTGCGCAGGCCCCACTGTTCTCGGTTTCCTCGCTGTTTCCTCACGTCCCCCAGCTGGAGGGATGCGGTGGGGTGTCCCCACCGCGGCTGCAGGGCGGAGGGGGCCCGCCGGAGAAGACGGGCATCCCGGGAACATAGAGGAGGGGGGCCGCCCCTGCGCTGGGGGGACCTGTCCGGACGCGTCCTTAGCGCCTGGGAACCGGGACATAAAAGCGCCTCCGGATCCGCCCCGTGGCCTGGCCCCTTTCATCCCCTCCTGGTTCTCTCCCTAGGGTTTCCGGAGGGAGAGCTGCGATGGGGTAGGGGAGGCCGGGGGTCCCCTTCAGGGCGGGGTCTCCATCAGGCGAGGAGGCTGTTGCTGTAAAAATAACTCCTTTGAGGCGCCTCCTTGTTAACCCTCCCAGACCCAGCCTGATGGAGCCATGAAGGAAGGGGGCAGAGGGCCAGAATCCGGGACAGCTTCCCAGCCCTAACTGCGGGGTGGAGCAGAGAGCCGGATAGAGGTGGGGCCTGGGCAAGGAGGGCCCCTTCTAAGACGAGAGGAAGCAATTGAACGGGGGAATGGAGGAAACAAACCCCTTCCGCTCCAAGCTCGGATTCGGTCCTTACTCTCGGTCTTGATGAAAAGTAAAGTTCAGTCGTCCCCATTCCCCATCCGTCCCCCCCAGCCCCACCCCATGTGAGCTTTCCAGGCAGCCAGAAGCCCCCGCTCTAGAATTAATGTAGTTCCTCCTCCTAGGTGCCCCATCGGCCGCCTTCCCCCCTGGGGATGGAAGGGACAGGGTTACCGGGCTTGTTGGGGTTCGGTGGGGTGCCCCAGCAGAGGGACCCCCAGCAGTTCCCAGGCCCCTCCTGTAGAAGGTGTGATGGGAGGCTCCCATCCCTGTCCGTGGGAGGCAGTGGCTCTCCCACTGGAAGGGGCTGCCTTCTGTGATGTCTAGGAAGCTGTCCCCTTTCCTTCTTTAGATGCTAGAAATACCTTCTGGTTGTGATCCCCGAGTGGGAAGGGAGGGAGGAGTCCAGCAGAGGCAAAGGGGAGGGAGGCGATGAGGGAAGTGTGGAGCTAGTGGGCTTTCCCAGGCTTGATATGGAGGCTGTAAGGTTCCTCCTCCCCCCCCGCCCCGACCTCCCCTCTTTCCACCCAGAGCCTTTTTGGAGGATTAGTTGTGTATTGATTTTTAAGTTATAAGCAAAGGGTATTTTATTTAATATTAGGGCATGTGTTTGTGCATGTTGTGTGTATGTGTACGTGAGTGTGTGAGTGTGTGTGTGTGTGTGTGTGTGTGTGTGTGTGTGTTTCTCTACTGAGCCTGTGGTCTCCAGCCAAGGGAGACCCTACCTTGTTCACCCCGTCCAAGGTCCTGGGCTTTAGGCCTACCGTGTCTCTTCCTCCCTTGGGGATGCTGGAGCCCGGTCCAAGGAGCTCAAAGGGAAATGGGGCTGGGATCTGGGTGGGAATCTGTGTGTGTGTAGAAGGGAGTCCTTACAAGGGATTGGGTGACTCTCCCAGCGGGACTCATGGGCCCGGGGTAGTTTAAGAAATAATGTTCTTTCTTTCTGTTCCCTCTGATCCCGACCTCCTGCTGACCCCGCCAGAGGTCCCTTTCCTTGCCGAGAGGCTTGGGGGCAGGAGAGAGTTGGCAGTGCCTGCAGGTTGCCTGGCCAGGAGGAGAGAGGGGGAGAAAGGGAGGGCACGTGGGTGTGAGATGCCTTTCTCCTCCACCCATCGAAACCAGCCGCCACCTCCCTGTGCTACCAGGACAGCTGTTCCCAGTGACCATTCCAAGGGGAACTCCCGAATGAGTGGTGGTGGTGGGGGGACAGGGCTGTTCCCCTTGTGGAGGCCCCCAGCTCTGAGGTGTCCGGTGAGGGCTTTGGTTAGGTTTTCTGTCTGCCCCCTTCTAGGCAGCCCCCTAGAGGAGAAATGTAGGATTTTTTTTCTTTATTAACTGCTGTGAACCCACTTTGTTGGGGGGGAGGGAGAAGAGGAAGAAACAGCCTGTGTTTTTTATGCCGTAATAAAGTCATCAACCACATCATTGCTTCATTTGTCTTCTCGCCCTGGCGGTCCGTTTCCTCCTGGACTCCGTGTCCCGCAGCCGTGAGGACCAGGCTGCTGCAGGGTGGGGTGGACACTGCTCTTTGATCTCACAGCCCTGGGCGGCCTCACCTCTCCCCCTGTGTTTGGGGCAGAGCTGGGCTGATGGAAGGGTCCGATCCTGCCCTGGAGGTGGCTGGTTCAGGAGGGAGGAGCTCCCACTGGGTTGATAGTTCTGCCGGCTGTCCCTCCCCGGTGGAACCTGTGCAGATGAGGAAGTTCTAGATGTTTCCTTCCTCCTCCACACACAAGCCCCCTCTTTCCCCTCCCCTGCCAAGAACGCTGCTGGTTCCCTGCCTTCCCAGAGACCGCCAGCCTCTTGGCACCCTCACCCCACACGGGGGTGTGTGTGTCAGTCGGTCCTTCTGGCTGTGAGTGAGGTGGGGGTGACTGACAGCGATTTCTTCACCCAGGATGATCCCTATCAGGAACAAGGCGATGAAAGGCAGCCAAGATATCTGATGGGCTCCCGCCCAGCTGGAAGGTATGAGGGAAAGGCTCCTGCTGCAACTCCCAGATAGAGACCTGCCAGTTACACAACCACGCTGTGCACGAATGCGCCCTCGCCGGACCCACGGGGCGCCTTCGGATATGCAGAACTGCCCATCTGTGCACACTTTCCCAGGCTGCCCAATGCCTGGCATGTAGTTGGTGCCTATTAATGTCAAATGAGTATAAAACCTCAACTCCAGAGCCCCAAAGCCAGGAAGGTGGATGAAGGATCAGTTTTGGGCTCCAAGGGGGCAGATAGATTATTGTGTTCTTTTTTTAAATATATATATTTTTTATTGTTTTCAGAGAAGAAGGGAGAGGGAGGGAGAGAGAACAAACCATCAATGATGAGAACGAATCACTGATCGGCTGCCTCCTGCACACCCCACACTGAGGATCCAGCCCTCAATCCAGGCATATGCCCTGACTGGGGATTGAACCGTGACCTCCTAGTTCATAGGTTGATACTCAACCACTGAGCCATACCGGCTGGGCAGATTATTGTGTTTTTTCACCTTCCCATCCTCACTTTTTTTGTGTGTGCCAAAATTATTCTTTTTTATCTAGTGGGATTTCTATTTCCCCCCGCTCTAACCCTAATCCAATTTTTCAGAACTAAATCTAGTACCCAGGTTGGCCCATCCTATCACAGGTTTGGGTCTGGGCTCACAAAATCCACCTTGGGGTGGGGGTCAGACAGGAAACCACACTGGTGTTTGGGGGGGCAAAAGTTTGTTCCCATCTGCTGCTGCGTTAGACGTCTCGGAGGACAAGAAACAGGTGTGTTTTCCTGTGACCTCATGCCCACCCCACTCCTTGGGGTGCTCTTTTGTCCTCCTGGTTCTGGGGGAGTTAGACCCCAGGAACCTGGTGAGTCCTCTCCTGTCCCCCCAGCGCTGTCCCCGCTGTCCCCGGGGACAGGAGGGCAGCTGTGGGGCCGGCTGGGCCTGTCTGGGCAGGGCTGGCTGCCCCTCCTCCCCGTGCAGCTCCTCCCGCTGACCTGCATTCTTAGCGGGGGCCTTTGGTGGGGCTCTGACGCTCCCTCGGCTCGTTTGCCTTGACAGCAATGCTGCCTGGCTGGCCTGGCCCCCCCTGATGGAGCCCAAGGCTGGCCACCTCTGACCTTTCAGGTCAGGAGCCCCTGGCAGGACGATCCCGGAGGAGCTGGGCGGGAGGGAAATCAGAACATCTGGACTGACCCTCTGGGCGACTTCTCTGAGCCGCCAGCTCCTCTCCTAGGACGTGGGAGTGGAATTCCGAGGTGGGTGAGTGAAATCTGGAATGGAAAGTGACAGGAGCAGGCAGCCTGGGAACTGCCGCCTGGGGCTGTGCCGCGCCGACTCCGCGTCTCCTCCTGCCTGTGCCTGCCCCCTAGCGGGAAGCTGGGGACGTGCAGACGGTGAACCAGCTTTCCGGCGGGCCGCTTGGGCGCTCCTGTTAGCCCACAGCCTTGAAGTTTGTTTCTGGAATGCCACGCAATGGCAACCTTACCACCCCTCCCTGACGCTGCACCCGAAGCAGCCTTCACCTCCACGTCAGCCCAGGAAGCCTGGCTGCTCAGGTTTGAAAAGAATCTCAGGAACTAAACAGTCCTGCTGTTCCCAATCAGTAGACTATTCGGATCACCCGTGGACTTTTTCAAGATACCGCGATTTCCTTCCCCAAACCCCACCCAGGTATGCCCCTTGGGGCTGTATGAGAGCAGCACTTCTCAGACTTCATACCTGAAGTCTGGTGAACGTACAGCTTCTGATGCAGTAGGTCTGAGGTGGGGCCCAAGACTCGACAATTTTCACAAGCTGTCAGATGATGCTGATGCTGGCAGTCTGCCGACACTTTGATAGCAGAGAATTAAAGTGTCGTGTTGTGCAGTGGGAGATGTGTGGCTGAAAAATAGCCACCCTGGCTGGGTAGCTCAGTTGGTTGGAGTGTCGTCCTGATACACCAAGGTTGCAGGTTCAATCCCCAGTTTGGACACAAACAAAAGTCAATGAATGAATGAATAAGTGGAACAACAAGTCGATCTTTCTCTCTCCCCCTTCCTCTCTCTAATATCAATCAATAAATACAAATAAAAAAATTAACCCTCCCTCTCCCCACCTGTGGTTGAGAACCACGGAGGCCCTCGCAGGGTAAGAGACCTGCCCAAAGTGACCCCACAAAAGCAAGATCAGATGCCAGTCTGCAGAGTTCCAGGTATGCTCCTCCCTACTCCAGCCCAGCTTCTAGGCCACTCTTCTGTTCAAGTGGCAGTCCCCTTCCTGGAGACACGGGCATCTTCTTGGGATACCTGAAGGCATTTAGGAAACATCTCAGGTTTCAGGCCCCCAACAGCCTTATCTGCCAGGTCTCCTCCAGCCATCACCAAGCACACCCGCCTACAGCCTGCCTCCGGGAAAAGCCTCAGCCTCTGCCTTCATTCCCACTCTAGGAGTAACCGATGGAGCAGCAGCCCTGATTGTGTGGCTGGTGGGTGTGGGAGAAATAGACCATCTGTAGTGTCTCCCCCATTCCTGAAGGACTTCACAGAGCAAAACGGTGTGAGATGCATTCGCTTAAATGCTGGATATGATGGAGATCGCTTATAGAGGAAAATGACCCAGCAAGCAGAACACTCAAGATTTCTCCTGTTTCAGCTTCATTGTGTGTAAAGACACCATATCTTTGGAGTAGAAATTTCCAAATTTTCTTTCAAAGCACTTTGGGGGGGGGGAGCAGAATCATTTTTTGGGGGGTTGGATGGGTTTTATGTATAGGTGCCCTTCAAAAAGGCATTAACTTATGTGTTCCCTACATCTCCTGGCCGAGCCATTCTTTTTTTTAAAAAAAAATACCTTTTCGCCCAGCCGGTGTGTCTCAGTGGTTGAGCCTCGACCTGTGAACCAGGAGGTCACAGTTTGATTCCCGGTCAGGGCACATGCCTGGGTTCGATCCCCAGTGTGGGTCGTGAAGGAGGCAGCCGATCAATGATTCTCTCTCATCATTTATGTTTTTATCACTCTCTCCCTCTCCCTTCCTCTCTGAAATCAATAAAAATATATTTTAAAAATAAAAAATAATTTTTCTTTCTTTTTAAAAACATTTTTTTTTTTTCAGAGAGAGGAAGGGGCATCAGCTGGCTCCTGCATGTCCCCCACCGGGGATGGAGCCCACAACCTGGGCATGTGCCCTCACCGGAAATGGATCCAGTGACTTCTCGGTGCATGGGACAAAGCTCAACCAACTGAGCCACATCAGCCAGGGACTGGCGGGTGGGGCACCAGCCTGGGATCGTGCCTTCGGAATTCAAACCAGGGCACAAGTTCTTTAATTCCAGATGCCCCAGCAGTCCCAGCTTTCTAATAAACCCGCCCGGCTTTTCTTTCCTCTCTTTTCACGTGGCTCCTTTCCGCTCCCAGCTCCTGCTCCCCACGGTGACCCTACTGGAGTTGCGGGCTGATTCTCAGCCTTTTCCTGCTTGAAAGCTGCGCGCGGGGAAGGGCAGGCAGCCAAGCCAGACTAGGGAGGCCGCTCTTCCCCAAGAAGCGGTGCTAGCGCGCACCCTGGTGGAAGACCGAGGAACTGCAGGCGCTCCGTTCCAGCTCCGCCCCGGGGGGCAAGGCCTTCCAGGTCACCTGGGAACCTCGGTCCAACGGGCAGACCTGACCCTAAATGGAGGCCCTGGCTCCCGGAACTAAGCTGGGGATCGAGCAGGGAGAGAGGGTGAGGAGCACACACGACTGGGAAGCCAGAAGGGGGGGACAGAAGAGGGGTGTGGGACACTTGGAGAGGCTCAGGGCAACAAGGGAGATGGGCCAGGACTCTCAGAAGGGCAGGGCCCGAGGAGCGGGCTGGCCTGCTGATTCCTGAGCCTGGAGCGTGGGGAGAGAGTGGGTGCCTCCGGGTCACATTGCTCATGGAGTGTGCGCGGGGTGCGGGGTGTCCAGAACCCGACGGCACTGCCTTCCCTGCGTGTCTGTTTTCACGTGTTGGGAGAGGGGCTCCCTAGCACTGATTCCAGGCTGGGATAGTGGAGACACGAGGGACACACTCGTCTCCCCATCTCCCCAGATGGCATCGTGGAGCCCTGACGCCCCATGTTCCTGTGACTGCTTTGTCTCGGTGCCCCCGGCCTCGGCCATCCCAGCTGTCATCTTTGCCAAGAACTCAGACCGGCCCCGGGATGAGGTGCAGGAGGTGGTGTTTGTCCCGGCGGGCGCTCATGCCCCTGGCAGCTGGCTCCAGGTGGGTTAGGCCTCTGGGGCGCCGGGTGGTGGCAGAGGTAGGCCTTCTTCTCAGTCAAGACCTTTCTCCTCTCTGCTCCCCACACCTGGGAGGCCTCCAGATGTGGAAAGAGCATGAGCTTCACATCTACCAGCCTGGACTTAGCCTATTAGTTAGCCTCTGTCGTCCTCATTGTCCTCCTCTGTAAAATGGGAATAATATGGCCTTCCTCTAAGGCAGTGGTTCTCAACCTTCCTAATGCCGCGACCCGTTAATACAGTTCCTCATGTTGTGGTGACCCCCAACCATAAAATTATTTTCGTTGCTACTTCATAACTGTAATGTTGCCACTGTTATGAATCGTCATGTAAATATCTGATAGGCAGGATGGTCTTAGGCGACCCCTGTGAAAGGGTCGTTCGACCGCCAAAGGGGTCGCGACCCACAGGTTGAGAACCGCTGCTCTAAGGGCTGAGGAAGGTGACTGCCACTTGGTAGGAACCTTCCCCTTTCTGATCGGACTCTCCCTCTCTCCGCGTCCCCCCCCCCCCCCCCCCGGCCTGCAGTGCACCTACATCGAGGTGGAGCAGGTGGCGAAGACCCATGCTGTGATCCTAAGCCGCCCTTCCTGGCTGTGGGGGGCGGAGATGGGCGCCAACGAGCATGGCGTCTGCATTGGCAACGAGGCCGTGTGGACCAAGGAGCCAGTTGGGGAGGGGGAGGCCCTGCTGGGCATGGATCTACTCAGGTGCGGCCCCTGCCCTTCCTCGTCCCCTCAACACACCAGAAGTCTGGGGACCGAGGACTGGCCCAGGCCTTCCTCCCCTCCTCCAAGCCTGGTCCACAAAGGGCCCCTTCCTTTCTGCGTCACCACCAGGAGGCCGCCCTGCCCCTCCCTCCCCGGGCCCCATCTCCACAATCTGGTTGGAAGCTCTCCCAGGTGGCCACCTCTGGGCCTCCCCTGGCCCCGAATCAATAGAGGCGAAACGTCTTTCTAATGAAATCTCATCCCGATTTATTAACCCAATGAAAGCGGAGCAGCTCTGATTGAAGAGGTGGTGGGCTCAGGGCACGTCTCCGAGACTGTGTGTTGGGCCTTTGCATGGCCCCTCAGAGGCAGCCTGACAACCACCGGCATCGCTGCAGTGTTGGCAGGTTTTCTAGGGGACTCGGGCCTGACACCAACCCTCCCTGGGCCTCTTCTGTCCCCGGGAGCTCCCGCCACCAGCCACGGTGCCCCATCACCCGCCTGTCCCCTGGAGCTTCCGCCGCCTTTCACCCTCCTGTCCCCCGGACCTCTTTCTGTGCCAGGCTGGCTTTAGAACGCAGCAGCTCAGCCCAGGAGGCTGTGCACGTGATCACAGGCTTGCTGGAGCGCTATGGGCAGGGGGGCAGCTGCCGGGAGGACCCCACGCCGTTCTGCTACCACAACACCTTCCTGCTGGCTGACAGAACCGAGGCCTGGGTGCTGGAGACGGCGGGGCGGCTGTGGGCCGCACAGAGGATCCAGGGTGAGCGGCCGGTGCTGGGGCCTGCCTTTGCCCGCCTTGGGAGGGGGTGGGAAAGGTGGTGGCTGCAGGGAAGGGCCAATCCAGGCGCAGGCCTCTCGGGTGGTGGGGCCATCCAAAGAGATGGAAAACGAGCCCCGAGGGGGAACCTATCCTCCCCCTTCACGTGGTTCAGTCCTCTTGTGCTCCAGCCTGCTGCTTCCTCCGAGGAGCCTTCCTGGACTCCCTGATGGTCAGGTTTCCCCCTTATATCAGGTTTCCCTCTGGCTGCTCTGGGGAGGGTGCCTCTTCACCACACTCACCACAGATGGCAGACTCAGTTCTTCCTGTGATGGTTCTGTCTCCCTCTTCACCATTGTGCTCTCAGCGCCCAGCCGAGCGCCTGGCACAGAGTAGGACTCAGTGATGGTGAACCCTATGACACCCGTGTCAGAGGTGACACGCGAACTCATTTTTTTGGTTGATTTTTCTTTGTTCAATGGCATTTAAATATATAAAATAAATATCAAAAATATAAGTCTTTGTTTTACTATGGTTGCAAAGATCAAAAAATTTCTAGATGTGACACGGCACCAGCGTTAAGTTAGGGTTTTTCAAAATGCTGGCACGCCGAGCTCAAAAGGTTCGCCATCCCTGGAGTAGGTGCTCAATCATGAACGAGCCCCCCCCTCCCCCACCCCCTTCTCCTCCGCAGAGGGCGCCCGCAACATCTCCAACCAGCTGAGCATCGGCACCGACATCTCAGCCGAACACCCGGCGCTTCGGGCCCACGCCCAGGCCCAGGGCTGGTGGGATGGCCGGGGCCCCTTCGACTTCGCTCAGGTCTTCTCGCTGACGCAGCAGCCGGTGCGCATGGAGGCGGCCAAGGCCCGCTTCCGGGCCGGGCGGGAGCTGCTGCAGCAGCTGCAAGGTCAGAGGGTGACGGGGTGAAGGGGTGACGGCCAGCCTCTCCCCCGTCCCGTAGCTTTGGGGGCCCCTGACCCTGTCCCGCTCGGCAGGGGGCATCACGGCCGAGGCGATGATGGGCATCCTCAGGGACCAGCAGACGGGCATCTGCATGGACTCCGGGGGCTTCCGCACCACGGCCAGCATGGTGTCCGTCCTGCCCCGGGACCCCTCGCGGCCCTGCGTCCACTTCCTCACGGCCACGCCAGACCCTTCCAGGTGCGGCCCGGGCTGGGGACCGAGGCGGAGTGTGCGGGGCCGGGTTCGCGAGGGACGTGGCCGTCCTCCATCCCTCCATCTGCGCCCCCTCAGGTCAGTGTTCAAACCTTTCATCTTCGGGGCGGGGGCGGCCCAGGCCCCCCAGGTGCTGTCCCCCACCTTTGGAGCACAGGACCCCGTCCGGACCGCGCCCCGCTTCCAGACTCGGGTGGATCGCCAGCACGCTCTCTACCGAGGACACCAGGAGGCCCTGGGGCTGATGGAGCGGGAGCAGGTGACCCCCAGGGAGCAGGGCCTTCTGGGGGGACCACTCATGGCCCCCACGCCCGCTGGGTTCTGGGAATAGGGGGGGCTTGGGAGTGGAGAGGCTCCAGGGGGGGGAGAGGGCTCTCTCCCTTCAGAGCCAGCTGCCCAGGGGCATGTCGGGGCCTTTGTCCCTTCCTCCTGCTCCGTGAGACCAAAGACGACATGTCCCCCTTCATGGGGGGCAAAGCCTGCGCCGGGGACTCACCTCTGCCTCTCCCGGCAGGACCTGGGGCAGCAGCTGCGGCAGAAGCAGCGGGATCTGGAGCAGGAAGGCCTGGAGGCTGTGAGGGGGCTGCTGGCCGGGGCCCCACCCCCCCAGGAGCTGGGTGGCCTCTTCCAGGCCTTTGTGGAGCGGGAGAGCCAGGCATACGTCTGAGCTCCACAGCTCCTCCTGGCCTGGCCTGGGGCGCGGGGCCTGGGGGTGGGCCTGGCCTGGGACTCGGGGCTGGGGGTGGGCCTGGACCCCGGGGGCAGTGGGATCCGAGCAGGTCCTCCACGCCCCTTGTTCTGAGTGGCTGGCTCAGCCTCATCTTCATAAATATGTTTTATTTCTTATGTGTTTTGCTGATTTTCCCTCGAGCTGCCCCCAGTGACGTGGACACGTTCAGGGCCTGGAGACACTTTATTGGGACAGGCTCCCGCCACAGGAGGGCTCTGGGAGGGGGTCTCCCCTGTTCTTGTCCAGCCCTCCTTCCCGCGGCTTCGCTGACAGCCGAGGGCTGTACTTCACTTCTTGATTCTCCTGGTCATGGTTTTGGTTGTGCTGGGGGCCCCAGCCAGCGCGGCCTTGGGGGCCGGAGCTGCTCTGACCCCCCTCCTTGCCTGCACGGTGCTTTGGGGGCCCCTGGAAACCAGGGGGCACAGCTTCTTGGTGGCAGAGGAGGCTTGTGGCAAGGAGGCAGGCTCCGGGGGTGGCTCCTTCCCCGGCCGGGGAGTGGCAGCGGAGGGGCGGTCCCCAGCCATGGGCCTCCCGGGCAGCTGGGGCAGCTCCGTGAGGACGGGCTGGGTCTCTAGCCTCAGCTGGTGCTCCGCCTGGGCTGCCTGCTGCCTGTGCGCCTTGTGCCTGCTCATGTCCTGCTCCAGCTCCTGGAGGAAGCCTGTGAGGGCCAGGACACGGTGTCGGATGGAGCCCGGGCCCAGCAGGAAGGCCCCGGGGTGAGGGAGCTGGTCTCTGGCTGATCTGAGCAAACTGCCATTCCCAACCGGGAGGAGCCTGAGGCTGGGGGGTGGGGAGGGGTCACCTGTGTGCCCAGGCTGACATCTGGCCCTGGCTGTACTGTCCTCTGGCCCAGATGGGCCTGGGGCTACTTTCCCAGACCCCCCAGGGCAGGGGTGAGCTCTGGGGAGGCTGCGAGCCTTGGGAAGCAGGGTCACCTCGCTCTGTGCGGAACGGGCCACTCAGCTCTGGGAACTCTTCATCCGAGGCTCTGTCCTCCTCATCCGAGTCCCAGCGCTCCGACACGGGCTGCCTGTCCAGGTCCATGAGCAGGGGCAGGGCTCCTGTCACCAGCTTCCTGCAGGGCAGCAGGCAGAGGCTAGGCTGGAGGGCACCCCTGCGTGTGGAGCCTGGGACACTGCGCACAGAGCAACAGCACCCACACGGGGCAGGATGGTGGCTCAGGAGCAGGAAGCCCCCAGATTGCTAAGGGCTGGTTCCCTGTGGAGTGATGGGGGTGAAAGGGAAAAAGGGGCTGACTTGAGCTGGGGCGGGGGAGGGGAAGGGGCCATGGGCCAGACTCCAGATGTGCAGGCCGAGAGGGAGCCCCCGTGGAGTTGGGAGGAGGAGCTCAAGCCATCACCCCTTCCTTCTCGCCTTCAGTTGCCCTCACCTGTAGCCATCCTGGTTGGGTGCAGCTGTTCCAAATCAGGTTGAGGGATGAGAAGGCTCTGGGGAAATTCATCTGCTCGAACCAGAGTCGGGGGAATGAGGTTCTCATACCCACCTTCCAGCCCAAAGCCACTGCCTCTGCACAGCCCGACCCCTGGAGGGTGCGCGGTTAACGCAGGCACAGGGAGATGGGGCAGGGAGGAGGGAGGGCCCCGCACCGGACTTATTTCATCCCCGCACGGGACTTATTTCATGAGCCAGGGTGAGGGCATCCTACCCAGCTCCAGCTTTGCTATCAGGTTCTCCGAAAGGTCCAGAAACTGGAGGTACGGGAGGTCACGGAGGTTCTCCACCTGCCGGATTCGGTTTCCTGCCAGAGACAGGAAGCTGCAGGGGAAGGGAGGGGTTCAGAGAAAGAGCTGAATTACAGAACAGCTGCAGGAGAGGAAGAGGGCATGAGGTGCTCCGGCCCCAGCCTAGGCAGCCGGACGACAAGTGGGGACACATGGCCTTTTGGGGTGAGGGAAACAGCTAGGCGTGCTGGGTCCTCAGCTGACAAGAAGCCAGGCTTGGAGAGATCTGAGCCAGTTCTTTGGGGATGTTCCCAGGTTTCCTCCCCTTCACCCTCCCCCTTCTTCGTTCCCCACCCCACCCCCACCTGAGCCCTGGCACCCCATACCGTAAGGTGGGGACGCAGGCCAGGTTCTCAATTCGCTGGATCTTATTCTGCAGGAAGAAACCAAGGTGGGGGACCAACCTGAGGTCAGCTGGGTGAGGGACCCTTTAAAGGGACACAACCCCAGGACCATGTCGACTCTCGCAACTGGAGATCTGGCAACTGGGAACGATGATGACCCAGCCACTGAACTGTTTGTCACAACCTTGGGATGACTTGCTTTCTCCAGGTGGGTGGTTCAGGGTGTAAATTTGGGGCTGGCTACAATTGATTAAGGTTTACCCTGCTCACCCCACAGCCAAAGAGTGACCTGGAAATCAGAGAAGGAAACCAAGGGGACTCGGGGAAATGGAAAGGGTCTTGGTGGGGGCTTGCATATATGAAGAGAGCAATGAACATATCTTACTTTGATTTGCATGGTTTCTGTGGGGAAAGGTTCAGGGAGCTGGATATATTCAATCTGGGGGAGGCTGAAGGTCAAACTCCCCCCACCCCACCCCCAGCCTTCAAGTTTCTGAAGGACACAGAGGAATCTTCTTGGCTCCTTCCTCTTCTTCAAAACAGAAAAAGAGCTTGAGCTATAGAACATGAAAGATTTAGGGTCGACACCAAGAGGAACTAGAGCAGCAGAAGTGTCTGACAAAAAAACGGACTCAAGAACACGCTCAAGATCTCTTTTGGGCCGAAGCCGGTTTGGCTCAGTGGATAGAGCATCGGCCTGCGGACTGAAAGGTCCCAGGTTCGATTCCGGTCAAGGGCATGTACCTGGGTTGCGGGCACATCCCCAGTGGGGGATGTGCAGGAGGCAGCTGATCGATGTTTCTCTCTCATCGATGTTTCTAACTATCTCTCTCTCTCCCTTCCTCTCTGTAAAAAATCAATAAAAATAAAAAAAAGATCTCTTTTGGGAAACTGGTCTTTCCATCCAGGAGACTCTGCTTCATCTGGGAACAGTTTCAATGAAGGTCTGCCTGCCTGAACTCCAGGGAGTGGGCAAGGCGACCTGGTTGGCTCCTTTCAGATTAAACAGACTTGGTCCACAGGAAGCAAGTGGAGAGGAAGGAGAGGGGGCAAGAATTTACCGCTTGCAGATAGAGGCTGTGAAGGTTCTGGAGGCCCTCTAGATTCTTGATAGTGGTGATCCCCTCCCGGTCCAGGCGGACAGTCTGTAGTTCAGCAATAGTGTGGAACCTGGGAGAACAGTCAGTGGGGTGGTGTAACAGAGAGACACTTCTGTGGTCTCTTAGCAGGGAAGATGGGGGGGGGGGAATAGATTTTTAAGGAGGAGTGGATGGCTAAGTGACATATGAGTAGGAATTAGCCAAGAAGGTGAGACGGGGGTGAGGAGAAAGCATTTCAAACAGAAAGAATAGTATGTGCTTATTCAGCCTTTCTCAAACTTGAATGTGCCCGTAAATCCCCTGGGGGTCTTGTGAAAAATGCAGATTCTCATTCAGTAGGTCTGGGGTGGGGCGGAGATTTTTCATTTCTAACAAGCGCCCAGGTGATGTGGGTGCGGCTGCCCCCCTCCCCTCTCCCCAGCACCAGACCACTCTTAGTAGTAAGGCACTGAGGTGTGAGAACATGGGGTCTTCGAGGAATTGCACACCTGTGGAGAGTGGCAAGAAAGAAGGCTGGATGGGCAGCAGAGGTCAATTCATGATAAGGTGTTTAGATTTTATTTTGGAAGATTATATCATGGAGGGACTGATCAGAATTCTCATTTAAAAGGATCACTTTGGCAACAGTAGGGGGAGCCTGGACTGGGGTCTTGGGAGACTAATTAGGAGTTTGAGAGGTGATGACAGCTTTATCTAAGGCAGTTGAGTGGGAAAGAAATAGAATGATCTTGAAGGAGAGGAAATCAATTGGACATTACCACTGATTGAATGTGTGGAGTAAGAGAGGGACAGAGATTAGCTGACAAGTCAGTACAGCTCAAGGGACTGGTCTTCCCGGGGGATTTCAATATTCCAGCACCCTTATCTCTCCCTGCACGCACATCTTCTCTGACAGATCCTCATCCTCAGGGAAGGTCAAGTTCCGCTTAGTGATAAGGGCTTCGGTAATGCACACTTCCCCTTTCTCTGGACTCTCGGCAAGCTGAGCTGTGAAAAGATCGGTTCCATTGTTACAATTCCTTATTCTCGGAGGCCTGACCCTACTGTTATCCAACTGTTCTACCTACCACCCATCTCCCTACTCACCTCCAGGCATGATCTAAAGGCTGCTGGCCTGGGGCGGATTGGAACGAAGAGCAGAGTTTGGATAGCCCTTGGGGATGGCGGGATCCAGGGTGGTATGAAGAGAGAGAAGCTCAGAGACTTGGGGGACAAGGGAAAGGGGTTGATTCAGGGCAAATTACTGAAATGGGACAGAAGACAAAAGTAAACCGAAGTGGAGGGTCTGGAGTTTGCGGGTTGTAGAGGGGTTTTGCTGGCCGAAATCTCTGGGAGGTTTTAGCGCGTGCGGATGCAGAGAGCGGTTCAGCCGTTTAGCGCTGTTGCTAGGAGACCGACGCCAGGTCGGGCGTGGCGGGTGGGGAGAGAGGGGAGGGCTCGCGGCGCATGCGGATTACTGCTCCAGCCGGCGGATCCTCCCACGGCTTCCGGCCCCAGGTATCCCACAATCCTTCGCTCTTTCCGTTTCACTCGGCTCCCGTCCGTTCCTCCGAAGGCAATGGCTGCGGCCGTAGCTGGGATTCTGCGAGGCGGCCTCCTGCCCCAGGCGGGTAAGGAGCGGCCCAGGCCCTCACGGCGTGTTACGGCCGGTGCTCTCTGATCCCTGTCTCCCCTCCTCTGCTACTGGTCCCCTCCACCCCGTAACCTCTGACTGCAGGCAGCTCCCGGGGACCCCCCAGCTGGGTCGCCCGCCTCCTTCCCCAGTCCAATTCCCGGTGGCTCCAGATTCCAGTAATGACCGCAAGCAGCGACAGCGGCAGCCATGCCACAGTATTGATTATCTACGCCCCCCTGCATTCTCTGGGTTTCCGTAATCCATCACCTAGGTTTTGCTCGCCTCCAGTTTCCTGCTGACCACCCACCCCCGGTCCCAACCTTGGCATTACGTCTCCTTAAGATCTCAGCCTAAATGTCACTTCCTTAAGCCTGCCCTTACCACCCTCTGCAAAGCAGGTTTCCCCTGTTAAATCTGTACCTTGCACCCTCTCTTTGGCCCTGTAGTTTCGCATTTATTTATTTGTCTCTCTATTAGACTTTACAGAACCAGCCTAAGCAACAGGTGTCATAATGCCTGACATTCTTAGGCATGCCATAGGTATTTAATAAATGACTGAGCACACTCTATAGGCCTGGTACAGTGATAAATGCTTTACATGGTGTTATTTAAATCTTAAAGCACCTGATGAAAAAGCATTCTCATCCCCTCTTTACCTACGATGAAACCAGTCAAGTTTAGACCAGTCAAGTGACTGGTCAAGGTCACAGCTTGAGTGGCAGAAGAAAGATTAAAATCTGGATGCATCTGGGTCCAGAGCCTGCGCTCTTGATAGTTAGATTTGTGGTCCCTGGCAATACCACCTCTCACCCCAAGAACTCTCCGTGCTCTCTGACTGTTAGGGCTCCCTTCTGGTTGAACCTTTCCCTGCGATCTCATCCCAGTCTTGGGAAGGACTGAAAGCGGGAAGCTCTAGCCTGGATTCTTTTATTGAGGATGAAGGGGTCACTTGGGCTCAGGACTTTCGAGTAGTTCCCCTGTCTTCTGAGGGGTGCTCTCTGGCGATGCCTGCAAACAGGACGAGCAGAGGGAATGGAGACTTGTTTGGGGGAGCTCTGAGGGCAGTGTAACTTTCCCTCCATCTCTTTCTTGAAATCATGGGAGAAGGCCTTCAGAGCAGTGGTCAGAGCAGTGGACTTCACCCTTCAGCACGCATCACCTGGCGGGCTTATTCACACATTGCGGGCTCCACAGATGCAGTGGGTCTACAATGGGGCCTGAGGACTGGTATTTCTAAGAAGTGCTGCTGATGTTGGTTGGTGCTCAAAATACTTTCTCTTTGGTTCTCATCCCCCCCCCCCCCCCATCTGTGCATAAAGGGCTGGAAAATAATAATAACTAAGTACTGGAGAAATGGGAGCCTCAAAGGATCAAGCAACTGAACTAAGGTCAGCCATTAGGAGAGAAGGTTTGGGGATTCAGGATTTCTAGCGGGAAATTCTTCATCCCACTTTGGCGCTAGGTTCAGCTCTGGGAGCCATGGTCGTCTCTGCCCCGAGGGTGGCCCCTTTCTCCACCCAGGGCAGACTGAGGCCTCCAAGAGGCAGCATCTCACTGCCCTGCTCCTTCCCCTTCCAGGCCGGCTGCCCGCCCTCCAGACGGTCCGCCACGGCTCCAAGGCTGTGACCCGCCACTGGCGCGTGATGCACTTTGAGCGGCAGAAGCTGATGGCTGTGACGAAGTATATCCCCCCGAAACCCGCGATCAATCCGAGGTGCGTGACACCTCCTCCCAAGCGCGTCCAGGAGGTAAGAAGACGGGGGCATGTCACCTGGCGGTGGCGTGGAGGTGAAAGTGGTCTTATATCCGCGACCATAGTGACGTGAGGTTCCAAGACACAGTCATCCACACCATTACTTCCTCGCTTTGGCCCATGGCCCAGATGCTTTAAAGTGAAATGGTCACTTGATTTGGCTTTGGCCCTTTGGCCTCTGTGGATTGGACGGGTCTCCTGAACTTCCCTCATTCCCAGCTCCATGCTGTCCAAGTGTGTGGTGGCGGGGTATTGGGGAGAGTATCTCTGTCCTGTCTTGAAGGACTTGAAGCTTTCATGTTTTCCTAGAAGAATGATAGAGGTTTTCTGTTTTTAAAAAGAACAGAAAGACCAGTGGGTGAGTTTGACTCTCGTGCCCTTGAAATGAGGTCAGTGTGACTGAGGATCTGAATTTTTAATGGTATTTAATTTTAATTAATTTAAATAGAAATAGCCACATTTGACTAGTGCAGTGATGGCGAACCTATGACACGCATGTCAGAGGTGACACGCGAACTCATTTTTTTGGTTGATTTTTCTTTGTTAAATGGCATTTAAATATATAAAATAAATATCAAAAATATACACCTTTGTTTTACTATGGTTGCAAAGATCAAAAAATTTCTAGATGTGACACGGCACCAGAGTTAAGTTAGGGTTTTTCAAAATACTGACACGCCGAACTCAAAAGGTTCACCATCACTGGACTAGTGGCTGCTGTATTCTACAGGGCCAATCTAGAATCTAGATTTAGCACAGTAGTGAATCTTCCATTATTTTGCCTTACATGTATTAACATTTTCATGGAATTCTGCAAACAGCACCAAGACTTCTAGGTCAAATAACGTTGACTGGGTCAGACTGCTGACCAGATTGGGGGAATCAGTTCTCAGGTTGGAAAAACACTGCTCTATTGACCGATCCTCTAATGAAAATGAAAGGGTAGAATGGGAGGTGGAGCATGTCTCTGGGAGTCAAGGGCCCGACTATCCTGCCTGTACCTGGTCTTTCCCCGCATTTGGGCCTCGTGGGAAGCCCAGCACGCATCCCTGCGGGAGCCGAGGGGGACAGAGAAGCAGCAGCTTATGTCCCCCTGGCTGTCCCTTCCTGATTTCAGGAGACAGGCCTCATCCGGCTCCTCCGTCGGGAGGTAGCAGCAGTTTTCCAAAACAACCGAATGATAGCCGTCTGCCAGAATGTGCCTCTGGGTGCGGAGGACAAGCTGTTTATGCAACACCGGCTGCGGAAACACAATATCTTGGTGAAGGCCTTCCCTAACCAGGTAGGGAGCCGTCTACCATGGACCCTGCCCGTGTTCCCCTTCCCCTGCCCACACAGACCCAGCACCTCTCCCCAGAGGGCACTTCCGACTCCTCCCCTCCACTAGCAGCTCTCTCTTCTGGTGCCTACTCTGCGATTAGTGGCTGAGGAGACCCTCTGGTTTCACCCTTAGCTGATGTGGCCTGTGACCCAGGTGGGCAGCTCTTCCTCCCACTCGTCCCCAATGAACCCTTCTTTCCTGCGGTTCCAGATCCTGAAGCCCTTCCTGGAGGATTCCAAGTACCGAAACCTGCTGCCCCTTTTTGTGGGGCACAACCTGCTGCTGGTCAGCAAAGAGCCCAAAGTCAAGGAGATGGTGCGAATCTTGAAGGGTGTGCCCTTCCTGCCACTGTTAGGTGAGCAAGCTCCCCTGCCTGTTGGGGGTGGGGTGAAGGGAGCGGGTGCGACAGCCGCCGAACGCCAGCTGCTAGGCATGAGTGCGTGAGACCGTGGACATCTTTGGAGAAGACATCCTCTCACAGATGGGGCCTCAGCAGCACCATTTGTCGAGGGCTGCCTGTGTCTTCTAACACCTGTGTTGGCTCACTGCCTGCATCGCTTATGCATGGGGGAAGGTTAGGGAAGGCAGAGAGGACTCTACCGGGGGAGGAAGTTCAGACACCTTGAGTCTTTACTAGGTGCTAAAACCCACAAAGATAATTAGAACAGATAGCCCAAGTATAGGGTGCTGAGGAACAGGCAGCAACGTTTCCCAGGCTCCCCTGGTACTAAGAATCCCTAGAGGTACTATTTCTATCTAGGATACTGATTCATAGGTCTCTGTGGGAAGGGGCAGGAATCAGTTTATAACCCCCCCCCCCATACACACACACACACACACACACACACACACACTCACACACTCCATGGTTCTTCAAGAAAGTTTAGGGAACAGTGATTTAGTGGGGGTCAGACCAGGTGGATGATTTATGTAAGAATTTTCTAGCGAAGAGTTAGGAAGGAGGCGAGGGGATCTGTCCCAAACACAGTGTGAGTGGGGTGGGGCACAAGTGGGAGCCAGATGGGAGGTGGAGAAGGGAAATGGAGAGCAATTCCTAGGGTTGGATGTTGTTTCGGAGAGGAAAGGCATTGTGGGGAGCCCCCTGACCCTGTGTTTTTCCAGGTGGCTGCATTGATGACACCATCCTCAGCAGGCAAGGATTCATCAACTACTCCAAGCTTCCCAGCCTGGACCTGGTGCAGGGGGAGCTGGTAGGAGGGCTCACGCTCCTCACGGCCCAGACCCACGCCCTGCTTCAGCACCAGCCCCTCCACCTGACGGCCCTGTTGGATCAGTACGTCAGACAGCAGCATCAGGGGGACTCTGTCAAGCCAGCCACTGGGCAGCCCGGTCCTCCCGACTCTGTTCCGGACTCATAGCCGGCCGGCCGTAAACACACCTGCCCCACCGGCCGTGCTGTCCTCGGGAATGTGGGTGAACTCGGGGTGGGAGTGGCACGTGTTCCCTGGCTTCTACTGACGACGACCTCCTCCGATGAAGGATTTCATTTCAGAATGGAGGCTTTTAATCACCGCCTTTGTCCTTCGTTTCTCCAACCTTCGACCTGATAAGAGCAGAGTGTCAGCTCCAGGTTCAAGGCAGAGCGGCTGAGCAGATGAGGATACTGCCCTCTGCCTCCTGTTCACTGTCCCTTGGACATGCCTCCCCAGCCTGACCCTCGCTGTCAGAGTAGCTCAGCTGAGTAATTGTTCTAAGAATGGGTTCTGTGGAGAGCCTGCTGTGCCAGGCTGCATGCTAACCCTTTCTAGGTGTTAGTTCTATTCCTGGGGCAGAGAAGTTACAGCGCCTGACCAAGGTCATGCGGCTGGGAAGTGGCAGAACAGGACTTGAACCAGGCTCTGCTCTGAGACGTGCTCTGGATTCTAGAGCTTCCTCTGAGGTCCCGGGTGGGCTTGGATGTGAATTCTCCGTCCGCGGGTGTGCCGTGTTGTGGAAAGGCTGGGAACACTGCTTTATGACAAAAATAAATGCATTTTCCTTAGTCTGTTTTGCTGTTTACAAACTTACCTTCCTGTCCACTTACCCTCAGGCTCATCTCTGACTCTCACTTCCCTTCCTAGAAAATCCTTCCTCTCCCGTGTCCACGCCTGTCACTTCCCTGTCCCCACACCCACAAGTGGCATCCCCACAGGCTTGTCCTTGGGAGGCAGCCACCAGCTCTGCCCAGCAGCTACCATGTCTCAGGTGGTTCTGAGCAAAGGAGCTGGGGGGCAACCAGCATTCTGCGAAGATGAGGGGCTTTGAGGGCTCTTAAGTAGAAAGTGTCATCCAAGTCTTGGGGAACAAAAGTGCCTAATGAAGGAGAGAGGATGGTTAACTAGAAGCCAACCCTTGCCCTTGGCACATGCGCTGGGTGGACGCAAGGGTGAGTGGGGAGAGTGGCTGTTGAGCATTCCTCCTGGACTTGGAACAGCGCCCCGGCTCCCCGGGGCCTGGGCAGGCACCACGCTGGCAGCGGCGCTCTGCAGCAGCTTCTCTGTGGCCTGGTCTAGGACCAACTGCCCAGAGCCCAGCTCTGCTCCGGACACCCAGGATGCTCAATCAATGTGAAATGCGTTAAAAGGCCCTTGAGGCTCACGGGTGCCAGAGCTGCCCCGACTCCCAGAACCACAGGTGCAACGAGGGCGCCGTTGAGGTTCTGAGAGGTGTAACACCACGAGGGGTCAGCCAAGGCCCTGTGGGCACCAGGTGGGCGGGGAAGTGGCCTAAAGTATTTCTCCCCACATTGCATCCTTGACCTGCTGGCAGAGCCCGAGGCCCCACCTTTAAAAACCCACTTTCCAGAAAGGCTTCGCTGCACTTACAGCTGTCAGTCAGTTTCACATTCATTTCAGTGGAGTTTAGACCTTTCTCAAGAGCTGATTTTTAATTAGAATTGAGCACTCCAGCAGGGCAGAGGTGCTCAGAAGGGAGGGGACTCAAGTGGGCTCCAGCCAGCCCTTAATGGCCAGCTGGTCCCCGCCCCTGCCCTGCTCCTGGTGCAGGGACAGCAGGCTGCGGGCTTTGTCTCGCTGCAGAGGTGCTTGGAGTCCCCCAGCCCATGGCACCAGTGGCAGCCTCTGGGGGGTCATCCGCTGGCTCTTTGGAGCCCTGACTGCCCTGCTGACTACGCTCTTGGCACTGTCTAAAAGGGGCATCCATCCCTCCCCATCAACCCGATACCTTTGCTGGCTCCAAACTTTGCAATCTATTTTCAGATGTAAAACGAGAGGCAGGAGTTAATAATAAAAAAAATGGACGTGGGTACTAACGGGTCAAGGCCAACTCGAGTCTGAGTAAACCCTCTCCCAACACTGGCGTGAGGCCAGCAGCTCCCCGGTCCTCTCTAATCCCTGGGAGCTGTGCCCAGCGGGGTCCCTGCCCCTGTTCCCAGGCCTCAGCTCTGGGGAGTCACTCAGCCCTGAGTCCTCCCGGGAGCAGGGGGGCAGAGCTGAGCAGCTGCCCAGAGCTTGGCGGGAGGAAGAGCGGGGGAGGGGAAGGTGGGGAGATCCGGCGAGAGGGGAGGCTCCTCGGTCTCCTTCCTTCCTGGTTCCTGCAGCAGCCGGTGCCACTTGGCTCCATGAGGAGGGAGCGGGCGACTTGGAGACGGTGACTCAGAGGCAGAGCTGCGTGCGGGCCAAGGAGCACTGGCGCCCATGGACCCTGCGGTAAGGGGCCGAGTCAGCTGACCTGCCTCCCACCTGCAGCTGGCGGGTCTGCTCCTCCGGAGAAGGGGACCGGCATGGAGGTGGAGACGGGGCACACTCACCTGATTCACCTCGACCCCACACCCTCCAATGACAGAGCCTCTCCCTCCGCCGCCAGCAGTGCGGGGCCAGGATCCCACGGGGCCAGGGAAAGGGCACAGGGACACCCCATCACTGGGAGAGTTTGGGAACTTTCAATGGCTGAATGCGGGCATTTCCCCCCGGGTCAGGCTCTGGCAGCCTGGGCCCCTCTGCCCCCACCTCCCGGTCACCCCTGCCCCAGTCACCCCTGCCCCGGCCACCCTTGCCCTACCTGTCCCTGTTCCCTGTTGCCTCAACTCCTCAGGTGCTTACAGGCTTCACAGAAGATCTGAGCGGTTTCCCCAGCCTCGGGCCAACCTTGCCCCTCCAGTCCCCTCCCCCGTCTCACACACACAGAGCCTCATGCATTATTGATCTCCCGGTGCAGCCAGGATGGCCTGAGCTGGTGCCAAGGGCGCCAGTGGGCACCGCTGCGGGGACCTGTGCGGACCTCGGCATGCTCTTGGCCAGCTCTTCTCCGCCCCCCACGTCCTCACCATCTCCATCCGCTCGGTCCCCTGCTCTCTGGGTGGGTGGTACTTGTCAGGACCCCCAAGGACTGGGGTGATAGAGAGGCTTTGGGGGACACTGAGCATCTGGGGTGGGCATCCTAGGGGGCTGTTGGAGGGGAGGAGGCACAGGGAACAATGGGGGCTGTCTCGGGCCTCAGTTTCCCCATGCAGAAAATGGGAGCCCAAGAACTAGAGGATATGGGGACCAGTTAGTGGGGAACTGGGGTGAAGAGGTTGGGGGACTCTGCATTGGGGAGGAGGTCATGGTAGAGGAGTCTCCCGGCCATGGTGGTGGCGGTGCGGGGTCCTGAAGGGGAGGAGCTGGCTGAGATCTTGCTTGTCTAAGCTCTGAACTCCTCTGGCCTTTTCTGGAGCCTCTCCCTCCACTCCTCTGCCTCACTCCGATCCTCCCAAGGAAGACTTCAGAGAAAGCTCCCAGTGTTTCCTGGAGCCCAGGAATGTGTGCTCAGGGTGGGGCTGGGTGGACTGTTCCTGGTTTTCTCTGGGCACTGCCTGCCTCTCTGCACTATCTCAGTGGCTGCGGGAAGGTGGAGACAGGAAGGTGGAGGCAGGGAGACCCACCCGGGGTGGGGGAGGACCGACCAGGAGAGGTGGGACGGGAGCAGAAGAGGTGCTGGTGAAGTGTGGTCCTAGAGGGTACAGGACAGGGTGGCGGTGGAGCAGGCGCTAGCAGGAACCCAGCTAATGAGTCTCTCTCTCTTGCTTCAAGGGCCCCCTCAGGACAAGGCGACATCCTTCCCCTTCCCCCCGGCTCTGAGTCCTCAGCAGGGAGTGGCCGCTCCTTCTCCATGGACTTCCAAGAGCGGGGTCCCCCCTCGCTGTCCGAGAGCACTCAGTCCGCAAAGTCCAGCAGCGCCCAGCAGGTCTGAGGGTGGGAGGCAGGCAGGGGGTGGGCTTTATTTGGCCTAAAGGGCCCTCACCAGCACACCCCCCCCCCCCCCCCCCGTCCCCCGACTCTGTCCTGGACTGCAGGCCTCTGAGCTGTGGGAGGTGGTGGAGGAGCCTCGGGGCCGGCGAGGCGCAGAGGGTATCATGCCCGAGAGGCAGGAGGGCCACCTGCTCAAGAAGAGGAAGTGGCCTCTGAAGGGCTGGCACAAGGTAGGTTCCAGGGCAGAGGGCAGGGCCAGATGCAGGGCAGCTTGGGGGGATGCTGGAGGCGGCTCGGTATGCTGTGTGCGTGTGTGCGTGTGTGCGTGTGCGTGTGCGTGTGTGTGTGTGTGTGTGTGTGTGTGTGTGTGTGTGTAGAAGGGGAAGAAAGATCCGTGTGTGCAGTTGCTCTCTCCCCACACCCTTCCTCTTGGTCACCTGGGTCCTGTTCCTCCTGGGTGACGTCACAGAGATACTTCGTGCTCGAGGACGGGATCCTTCGCTATGCGACCACTCGGCAAGATGTGAGTCAGGGCCTGGCTGGGGGTGATGAGGGAATCGGGTCCCAAAATGCCCTGGGCAGGCAGGGGGCTTCCGGACGCACCCAGAGCAGGGCCCGAGTCCCAGGCCCACTATTCCTGGGTGCGGGGTCTTGAGCAGGTGTCTTCCCTGGGCCTCAGCTCCCTCCTCTCTAAGACGGGAGAGTGCGATCACCCATGTGTGAGGTCATTGTCATCTTGGTGAGGGCCCTCAGGACAGGCCTGGCACAAAAGTGCCCAAGAGAGGGGAGCTTGATCCTCCTCCTCCTTGTCCTGTCCTCGTGCTGGGAAGAAGGAGCTGAAGGCCAAGCAGCCCGGGCCCTCTATGCCTCAGCCTTGCGGACCCCCGAGAGGGGGCGGGTAGTTTTCCCTGCTCTGTGACTCCCTGGAGCTCAGAATGTGACTTGTGAGTTCTGTGCACAGAAGGACGACAGCGAGGTCCCTGCTGGTACTGTGACTTGGTTATGAGGGTGAACCTGCTGCTTGGTCTCAAGTGGCCTCAGGGACATGATGGCTCTGTGGCCCAGGGGTCTAAAAACATCCCCTTCCCCCTACTACCCACCCCCCCAACCCCAGATCACCAAGGGGAAGCTGCATGGCTCCATCGATGTCCGACTGTCTGTCATGTCCATCAACAAAAAGGCCCAGCGCATTGACCTTGACACCGAAGACAACATCTACCACCTCAAGGTGACATCCCTGGGAGCCTGTTGGTGGCTTGGTCCCCAGCCTGGCAGAGGCACTGGGGCCCCCAGGAGAGTGGACAGGGGCTGAGGGTCCGTCCCTGAGTTTGATAAGAAGGGAGCTCCCATCGTGTCCAATAGCCAATGGCAAACCGCCCCTGCTGGTTGTTAGAGGAACAAACAGAGCTCAGAGCTCGGACATTGGGGAAGCTGGGTTCCATCTCCTGCCGGGGGCCTTTGCAGAAGCTGGACGTAAATCGAGAGAGCGTGCTTGCCTGGGGACCGGAGCCCCAACTTCCTGCCCTGGAAAGCACTCCTCCTTTCATGTGTCCCTCCCCCTCCCATCACGTCTGCAGATCAAATCCCAGGACCTGTTCCAGAGCTGGGTAGCCCAGCTGCGTGCCCATCGCCTGGCCCAGCGCCTGGACATGCCCCGCGGCCTGCTGCCCAGCAACTCTCACCGGAAGGTAAGGTGGGCCCTGGGGCAGGAGCCGCGGGGATTCAGGTGTGGCGGCCTCAGGGAACAGGGAGACCCAGGGAGGTGGGCACCGTCCTTCCTGACCCTTGACTCGCCCACAGGTTCCCGGTGCCC